CTTTAAAGCATTAAGGCTTACACAGAGAGATACCACACAAACACACTCTCCTGCATAGCACTCTCATACAGGATGGACCAGCTGAACTGATTCTCTTTGCCCAGACGTGTCTGGGCCTTCAGGATGGACCTGCTTCTCCTGGTACCTGGTGCCACGTCTTCCTGAGGCAACATGTGTGGCAGCACACAGGGTCACATGCTTCCCTCCATCCCAGATTTCTGCCAGGCCAGTCAATGACAAGGGGAGGGGAGGTGACATGCTCCCCTTCCAAGATACCATCCAGCTGGGTGAAGAAGCAGCTGGTCTGGGATGCCGCTCCTGACCAGGAACTCCTTTCCCTGGCCTTGGAATAGGCCTGCCAGAGCTCCTTAACCTTCATTCTGACCTGGTCCGGAGTGCAGCTGTGCCCCTACTGCACAAGGCTGTCGGCCTTGCTGCTGTACACATTGGCATTTCATCATCAGATGTGGAGATCAAGGACATTGGACTACACCCCTCTCCCTCTGAGAGCTCAATGAGATCCAGGATTTCTGCATCAGTCCATGAAAGCATGCTCCTCTTTTGGCCTCAGACATGGTCTTGGGAGCTGGGCTGCAGCTGTGGGAGCCTCAGATGGTGTGTTGGGGTCTGCCATTGCAGAGGTAGGGCAAAGCAGGGCGCTGCTGTGTGGCACAGGAATAGCAGGGCCTGCTGTGTGCCACAAGCCCTTTTCCCTATGGCTGCAGATTTCAGGGGAAGGGGAACTATAGAGTTCAGATGAGTGGCTTCCAGGACAGCTGTGGGAAGCTCTGGAGGCCACTTATTTTGAAAAAACTACAGCTGCACTCCCTATTTCGAAATAACTATTTCCGTGCAAAGTAACTATTTCGAAATAGGTGTGTTTCCTTGTAAAATGAATTACAGAAGTCGGAATAAGAAGCCCATTATTTCGATATTATTTCGAAATAATGCTTTTGTTGTGTAGACTCTCACTTTATTTCAAAATAATGCTAGTTATTCCGAAATAACGCTGCTGTATAGATGTGTCCTTACAGATCCAGGTCAGGGAAGCGTATTCCTCATATGGAGGAAATATTTATGATGAGTATTGTATTTCTCCAACGGGACTTCAGTTTTGTGGAATGCAGCCACCAGCACCATTGAGCTTTGGGAACTTCAAGAAAATCATTGTCCATTGGGAGGACATATTTCAAGCCAAGGTTGAAAGAGGCAGGTCAGCTCCTGAAAAACTCCATTACTCCTTTTCACAACCAGCTGGGGGAATTTCCACCCTCTGTATGTGCCAAATACAACTTTTGGACTTTTTACCAATAATTTTTAGGCTTTGAGAGGATGCTCATAATATCCTGGTGATTAGACACTGCTTTTTAGAAGGTTCCCAAATCTCTGTGGGCCTGGGAGTGTGCCATTCACAGAGAACTAGAATTATTTGGTGAGTAATTTTGTGTATGTATATATCCCTGTCACTTTGTAACTTACAGGCAGTGATCTTCATTTTTTATTTTTTTCCCTCAGTTTTAAAATCCAGGTTATCCTCAGGGAAAGCATTTCCCCCTATTGTCAACACATTACAATTTTGCCTTGGTTTTGTAATTGCAAATAAATCCCTGAATACTTTGAGAGAGGTTTTGTTTTCAATTTCCAAAAATAAACAAGACCTGTCTGGAGGCACCAAACTGTGATGATAGAGACATTCTATTCCACTTTTTTTTTTTTTTTTTTTTTAAATATCAGAGCTTCCAGTGTCTTTCTCAATTTTCCATTGTTTCTTCAGGGACCACAACATTTCTTTCATTAACTGATAACTCAGCTCTAGTATCCTTTCATAAAACTATTACGTGCATATGATTGCTCTACATCATACCCTTTTTTAAATTCAGTTTACACTCCAATATTACTCCATTTGGTTGAATAAAAGCTTGCTTTCTCTTAAATTATAGTATTAACTGCAATATTTTAATAGCTTATTTGCTTGGGCAGTAATATGATTTGAAAGACAAAAGAAACCATATTTTTTTTAATAAATTAATGAAGACAAATGGATAACTGTTGCAGTGAATGCTAACTTTAGACTGGTTCATTATCAGAGAGTACAGAAATTGTAAAAATGTTATCTCATTCATTAAGCAGAGGATGAACATGGGCTGTCAATACTTGATAATTTGACCATGTCATTACCTGTTTTTTTTTTCCTCCATTCCTCCAAAAGTTTAATATCCTCTCAGGTGAAGGAATTTTCAAACAGAAGAACTTGAAAAATAGGAAGCCATTTATAATTCATGTTTTTCAAAATTCTGCCATATGTAGCGTCCAGCTTAATAGCAAAACCTTTCCCTTGATCACTTTTGCTCTTTTTCTACTTATTTTTCTGAATACAGTATGATATATATTAAATTGTTTATTTAAAAGTCTCCTTCAATTTTACCAAGTGGAAATCTTTCATAAAAACATCACTTATAAATTTGTAAGTACTTTGTTTGCAAAGAGAGAGAGGAAAACTGCCTCAGTTGGTGTGTGTGATTACGTGGTGCTGATTATTTATTTATTTATTTATTTTTAACCAGCACAAAAGATTTAATATAGGAATGTTCTTAAATTGAGCTGCCTTTTTTCTGATTGTAGATGACACCAGTCCCATGTGATTGGATTTTCCTATTCAGTTCATTTTTAGTGTGGGCTTGTCACAAAAAGAATTCTCGCAGTGAATCTGTGATCTTTCTCCAAGTGTAACAGTATAACTGTCCCTGCTAGCAGACCCCTTCCTTTCTTTTTGATGAAAAACTATTGAATTCTAAGAATTTCCTATTATCTTGGCACAATCAACCTCTTACCTTGCTTTAAGTTATGATAAGAGGAAGCTGCATACCAAATTTGGTGGTCTTAGGTCTTAGACTATGTCTACACTGCAGCACTTCGGTATCCCGAAATAGCTATTCCGCGTCTTTTGAGCACACCTGTTATTTTGAAATATAAAGGACTTGCTATTCCAATATCTCTGTAAATCTCATTCCATGAGGAGTAAGAGGCCATTTGGAGTCGTGATTAATTTTGAAATAAGTGCTATGTAGACAGCACCAAATTTCAAAATTGACTCGAAATAAGCTACACCATTCGCATAGCTCAAATTGCATAACTTATTTTGAGCTACAGGTGCAGTGTAGATGCACCCTAACTGTTTAGGAGGAATTCTTGAACAAATGGACTCAGATTGACGCACGTTTCTGACATATATAATAAAATTGAAAAGAAGACAGATCTCTAAGTCATTTAGAACTAGGTGAAACTAGTCTATTTTAGGTCTCTGTTAGTGCTCCAGCATCTGAATCTTTTGTTGCTGATAGGTAGCTAAAACAAAAAGGTATACACAAAGTGAAAAAATATGACACTATGTCAACCAGGAAATGATTATAGCCGTCATTACTCAATATAAAGTTTAAACAAAGCCTTTTTGTGTGTAAGGAAATTCTCTGTAGAACATTTTGAGACTAGGGCCTTGTCTAGACTTCTGGGAAGATCAACACTCAGGAGATTGATCTTCCGGGATTCGATTTAGTGAGTTTAGTAAGGATCCAGTAAATCGAATGCTGGGGTTGCCCCTGTCAACTCTTGTACTAATAAGGGAAGTCGATGGGAGAAACATCTCCCCAGATGTTTGATTTAATATAAGTTGACTCCAGTTAAGCAATTCTTGTAGCTGGAGTGACGTATCTTAAATTGAATTTCTCTGCCAGGGGAGACCTGGCTTTATCAATTTCGTGTTAAAATATGTTAGAACATCATTTAGTGTAGCTATGTCTCTGTTATTCAGACCCATTTAGTTTTCAAAATAGACAAGCATTTTTATAGAAAAATCACTTAAGTGCCTGCCTTTAACACCTGACCTTATTTAGACAATTACTTTGATTCTATGGAAAAATTGCATAGAATCAAAGTAATGGTTATAATGAAATTAAATGGTTATAATTTACCTTCTGGTGATATTTTGATTATGATGGTATTTAGAATGGTGTATTTAATATTTATATTTAAGCAATGAGAGAGTCATTTACTGTTCAAAATTTTATTTAAACATTTAATAAACTGGAATATTTTATTAAAAGAAACAAAGTATTGTAATTTAATGACTTACAAATCAAGTAACCAATAGAGTATATGTCCGGGATAAAAAGATCTTGAGTCAATCTCCATTACACTGTTTTATTAGCTCTTTAAATTGAAATAATTTCTAATCTATTCTTCATATAAGGCAAAGCTTGTTTAACACTTTCACAAATGTTCCTTACATTTGCACACTATCTCCTTAAATCCTTGTTATGTTTTACTAGCTGTGCCATGAATATTTTCTGGAGATTGGTTATTTTTGTCGTCTAATAAAAAAAGTGTGAATTTAATACATTTTTAAAAGCTGGCTTATGCTATCATAGCAACCAGTTTTCAAAGTGAGACATTGAAACTGCAAAATTAGACTCAAGAATGACAGCTGAAAACACATATGGCAACTCTAAATGATTTATGCCTTTTTAATCTGTAATTTGTGTGATAGTGTATGGGGCAAGCTAACTTCATGTATAGTAACTTATCTTTGTCCATTAGGAATTATGCCAAGAGGGAATCCCCTCTAGAGGCACTTGCACTTTCTTGATTTCCATCCCTCCTCCACAAGTTATGTGATGAGATCAGATAAAAAATATGGCCATATCTGAAGGGCTAGAAAGCATACACAGGTAGAAAGGTGATGTTCTCCTGTATAACTTCCACCATAGTTGCTGCTGGGGTAACTGCCGAAAGAGGGAACTTCTGGCTCAGCCTTCTGTGTTTATTTCACACACAATTAAAAATTGCCCATGATTATAATTTGTTTTCTTGCATACACCTTTGATGTTCATTGATTTTTTTTTTTTTAACTTTGCACTGGGTTTTCTGGAATGCAGAGAAGATAAAGACATTCTAAAATATTAATGACCAGTAACTTCATTATGTATTTCTTGTTTCCCTTGCAGTACTATGTGCAAAAAACTTGGTGAAAAAGGATTTTTTCCGTAAGTAGCTATTAAAATTTATGAATTCATGTGTGGTACATGTTACATACATTCTGTACATCACTTCTAACATAGTAACATAACACATTGATATCCATGTGTTGAAGGAGACAGCGGGGTTTCCAACTCACTGTTTTTCAGAGCTTATAACTTTTTAACTGGAACTCACTGTGGGAGTATTTTAAAAATATATTTTTAAAACACGCATTAACAAAAATATCAGCCAACAACTTCTTCGGACTGGTGTGGGAGAGAGTATACAATCTTGTGGGTTTAAGACTTTTTTGGTGTCAATAAACCTGAAGGATTTTTATCTAAAAATATTGGTTTGATCACTTTTGGTGTTTCAAATAGTATAATTGGCTGATGTGCACTATATTTTTTTAAACAAAAGATTCTGTGTTTTTAATCCACATAGAATCATGGAATAGAATCATAGAACTGGAAGAGACCTCAGGAGTTCATCAAGCCCACCCCCCTGCCTAAGGCAGGACCAAGCCCAACTAAATCAACCCAGCCAGGGCTTTCTCAAGCCGAGACTTAATAGATATCAATTATATTGGTACTGGCTCTAGAATGGAGATACAAGTTCTTCATTTTAATTAACTTCTCTTAGACAAATTGCAGGCTTTCAAAAATACAAGGATCATATACATATATTTAACGTTTTACTATAGAACAGCTCCTTTGGTCTAACAATCAGATATAAAAAAAATAGTATATTTAATGAGCAAGTCAGAATACACGTTTTCCTAACCTGTACTGAAATTATGCACCTTCCACTAGTTTTCATGAGATTTTGAAAAGCAAAAAGAAAGGAAAGAGGGTTCTCTTGAACTACACATGCACCAAAACATACACATCAACTTCCTTCCTAATGAGACTGGGAGTTAAAGCAGGAGAATAAAAAGGACTAGACTCTAAACTTTAAAGATAACCCGCAAAGAGGAAAAAGATAGATGTGTGCCCTTTTTGTGGTCTTAAAAATGTAAAGTCTTAATGTTTGTTTTGTTTGTAAGCTTTCTTAGGCAGAAGCTGTCCATTATTATGTGTTTTGTATAGTGCCTGGCAAAATGGGACCTTGATCTCAGATGAGGTCTGTAAATACTACTATAATACAAATAATTAGCAATAACTAAACAAACTTAAGTACCAGGAATGTTATCTTGTCTCCTGTGATTTTAATGGAGTTCTTGTTGGCTGTTCACTGGGAACTTAAGATGCTTTAAGGAGCTGAGAGTGTTTTAGAACCTTATACAAGAGCTTTTCTCCCTAAATATTTGATTTAAAGGATTTAATAAAACAAACATTTTTAAAGAGTTTGAATGAAAATCACTTCCCTTCTCAGTCAGGTTGTACTTCCTTAGTATATTTCATTTTGTTGTCCTAACAGGTCTCCAGTCAGCCATCCCCCGTAGTCAAGATTTCAATTGCAAGTGTAAAAATAGCAGAAGGAAAAACCATTTTGAAAGGGGGGAAGGGGCGATGTTCAGTCCTTTTTACACCTAAGAGGGGCGGAAAAGCAAACAAGATAAAAAAAACAACTTTCTTTTTCTTTGAAGGTCACATTTAGAATGTAGTTGCAAAGCTCAGTTTGTTCATGTACTTAAAGACAGTGTAACATTGTAGTTCTGTTAGTTTAAATACATAAGCCACATTATGTTTGTACAGAATATGAAATATCTGACAATTCTTTCAAAGTAAGTATTTTATCCTGAATTTTGAATATTCACATGCAAAGATCAAGTTAACCTACTTGCAGCTGGAATTGTGATGATAGACTCAGATTAAATAAAATCCTTTTAAAAATACCCAACATACAGGGGAAAAGAATCACACTTGTATATTGATTATCATTTCATTTTTCTCAGTTTTCAAGCATGCCCTTTTATGAGTTTTTCCTCCCCTCCTATAGGACTTCCTGATCCATTTGCTAAGGTGGTGGTCGACGGATCTGGCCAATGCCATTCTACAGATACTGTGAAGAATACGCTTGATCCAAAGTGGAATCAGCATTATGACCTGTAGGTGTTAACAGTGATGTCTAAAATACAGCAAAGGTTTGAAGTTGAATCCTCTAAAGAGTGCAGAAACTCCAAATTGACAAATGGCCACAGTAGCATCAGTTAAGAGCTTGAAAAATATGCCAGAGGAGTAAACCTGATTAGCCAGGCTGAAAAATACATGCACCACCATAACACTTTTCTCATCTCAACTCTATGCTCTGGTACATTTTCTAATACACTCTGTGCAATGGATTTTACAGGTAGCATAGTGTTGTTTGAAGTATTTTATTGTCCAACATTTTGATATTGGACTGCGCATAAAAGAAAACATAATTTTACCAAATTTCCTTTGGCATTCCTTCTTCTTTTCCTCCTCATTCTATTTTTCTCTTCTAAAACCTATCTTGGTGTCTGTCTTTCAGAATCTTTCTTCAGTCTTAATATTGTTTCCTTTTTTCTCTTTCTTACTCCTTTTAATTTGTATCATTTTTATATTGCCGTTCTTACCACGAGCTCCTTTCAGTACTGCACTAAACAACACGACATATCTGCCATGTGTGGTTCATTCTTTCTCTTGTTTCTCCCTGGGGGAGGATTTTCCATGCCAAAATAATGCTATATTTTGTTTTCTTAGGGATTTTCAACGTCTTTTTATATTATTTTGTGTGTTTTGCTCTCTTTTTTTCCTTTTGTCCTTTCACTATGTTCCAGAGGTGAAAGGCAGAAAAAGGAGCCTTTGAACTATTTGCAGTTGAGTTTACCTCATTGAGATCTTTTTAGTCACTGATTACATCCTGGTTTAATCCAATCCTCCATCCACATCGTCTTCCTCAATTCCTGTTTTCTGCCAGTATGTATCTGCATTCACTCCTTAGAGCCTGTCTTGTGGGAGTGTTTGTATTGACCATGCTACAGCAGACCGCCAGTGTATCTGCAACATATTCATGTACAATGAGCTTTTATAAGTTTGAGACTGCTGCAGCATCTTTACCTAGATTGTTTTAAAACTACAATAAATTGCACTAGATGCAAGCCCTGATTTGCACCAATGCAGCACATCTCTGCCAAGGATTTGCCCCAGCATAGCTGCATAACTGAACTTACACATATATAAATATCTCCACTCTAACATCCTCTTGCTCCCCAAGGAAAAGAAGCCATGAGTCCAGCCAGCATCTTAGATCTTTAGCAGCATACTTTAAACAAGGTCTTGCACATAAAAGCATTCTCAGATCTCCCACTTCCTTGAATGGTTGAAGATTAAACATTCATAATAAGTTTTCAAAAGTTTTGGTGCAATATACAAAATATTTGCATTACTATTTCACTAAGTGTCATTGATATTTTAATGAAACAGTATTTGCTTTACTGGGGGAAGGGTATTGTAGACCAAGACAGCATTTTTTTTAAAGCATATTTTCAAAGCTTTGTAACTGTGCCATAAAAACTTAGGTCAGAAACAAGCTCTGCATACACAGTCTTATTTCCATTTACTAACCCATTTGATTTAAAGCAGTTTGTTATGAGAAGATGTTTAAAGAACGTATTAATAAAGCTGCCAAAGTGCTGATTTTGTACAAGTAGCTAATTAAGTGAATTCTCTAAATCTTCAGGAACTGATTTTTTTTCAGAGATTTTTTGGGAACCAAACTGCTTAGGCATTGTAATCTGGAGCACATGTTTTCCAGGCTGGTATGGCAAATACTGCTGTGGAAATTGGTGCCAGCTGGTGAAATATATTTAAATTGGCCACAGTGCCCAAGTCTTGCATTTCCCTTTCCTTCCCACCCCTTTACCTTTCCTTCGTTTCTTTTTGAAAATGCCCTATGTTAATTAGCTTCTCTATGGGAACAAAAAGAAAGAGTAAGGAGGATGGGAAAGAGAGAAGAGTGTTTCCAAGTCTGTATTTTTTGCAACCTTCTTGTTTTTCTAAAGTTAATTGTGGGATTTTTAAAAGGAGTAATGAGTGGCTATAATTTGATGTGTCTACCTCTAAGCTCTGTGCTGCAACTGCCTATAGCTTAAAGAACAAATATCTCACCAATCACTACTTAATTTGGGCATTGAGAGTAGGACTGCAGTTGTAATGGTCTATGGGAGTGGGCAGATGTTGGGAGCAGATTATTAAGAGCATTTAATACTTCATATTTTGTAGAGGGTTCTCAGTATCTTGCCAGGAAAACAGGAGTGAAAATAGCAACAAAAATCTTCATCAATTTTTTCCCTTCCTTCTTTCCCACCCAGTATTTATAAGCAGAAAGGCACAGACAACTTTGTTTTATCATACAATGTGGACCTGCTGGGATCCATCGATCACTGTACTAAATGGATCAAGTGTAATCTGTCCCGTTTTGTGCAAAGTAATAGACATGTCATGTTCCTACAAATTACTGTGCTCCAAATTTGCCCAATTGAGCATCCTTAGATTATTTATATTTAAATGCAATTGGAAGCTAAATGCAGATTAATCTTAATTTTCCATAAAGGCCTTTTTTCCATCATTCTTATTTTCAGAATTTTCTGTTTTCATTTTCTTCAGACATGAACTTGTTCAGATTAGCAGAAATAACTCCTCATACAGAGGCAGGTCTTTTCTCTGTAATTAGCATATACTTTCATAAGCTCTGGAAGAGTTATCTCCATGCCTGCATTATGAAATGAATTCTCAAGAGGAAGCATGTTTGTATTTCTTGTGTCTGTGTGGGACCTGAAATACAAGAGAAATGAGTTTCTATTCATAGGTAACGTTACTGTTAAAACACATATCTTTTTCGGATATGATGCTGTAGAGAAAACTTTTCTTCCTTAATCCTCCTTTAGAGATTGGCTTTTTAAAGGATTCAAAAGCACTCTTGGCACTTAACTGACCTCACACTGAATTTCACTCATCGGTCATTCAGAAAAAACGTCTTATTTCTCTCTCCTCTCCCTTTATTTCCTTCCTCTATTCCACTTTATCCTCATTTAAACCCAAATATTTTCTTTGTTCCCTTGCTCTGTTGTCCACTAATACTAGATGTAATATAAGGAACCTCTTTTCTATTATTAACATTAGTTACCCAATTTCTTTTTCCTTTATAAAAATAAAAAATTGGAGCTCTGTATACTGTCCCTAGCAAGTTTTTAAATATACATATTCTCAGTTCCAAGTTGTCTAGCTTGGCAGTTAGAAAAGTATCTTAAACCCCAAAATGCTGCCCTCATGATCAGCCTCTTAAGGAGCCCTGACTTGATTAAATGAGTTTGACTCTATAAAATTAATCTGAATGTGATTTAAACATAGTCTGAATTCTTATTCTGATATAACGAATACCAGTTCTCTGCTCTTCATCCCAAGCAGATGTTAAAATAAAGTAATCTTTTCCTTTGCAGAAATTTTTACTATACATTTTTCTAGACTAGTAAGTAGCCCACTGCCAAAAAGGCTGATGATTAATCCTTTCAATCTATGAGATTATTTGCCTTGCTGACCTCTTCTGAAAATAATATGGTAGATTCTACAGGCATCATAATGTTTACCCTAACAACACACCATTGCATGGGAACACTAGTCTCTGACTTACGACACTTGCGCTCTTACAGGAAATATCATGCACGCCAAGGATAGCAGATGGTGTCTCAATGGCAGAATGCCCACTTGGTCTCTTCTGTGGCCAAAGAGCATTGGAAATTGGCCAGAAGAAGGTGCAAATATGTAGAATTTTTAGAAATGATGTAATTTAAATATAGCATTGCTTAATTTTCTACTGTGAAGAAATTATATAGTTACTTATAGGGTTTTTAATAATTATAAGATTCTGATGTCCAGTAACATTACCTTTTGGCTATGATGTGTCTGCTGAATGCCAAATTTAAAACCTTTCACATAACAAATTAACACTTACAGAATTTTTAATGATACTGCACCTGAATTTACATTGAGTCTGTTCTGTATTTTTGGAACTAGGTTGTCCCCAAAGCACATACATATTATGTAAACCTAGCATCACCATTGTGAAGTATTACTGGTGGGGTTTTTTTTAAACAAATGGGAATATTGAGGGAAAATGAGTAACTTGTCCAAGGTAACAAAAGAAGTCTGTCAGAGCAGGGAATTAGAAATTAGGGGTCCTTGGCGTCTAGTTCTATGTTGCATTTTCTTAGCTTTTGTGGAGACTGCATATCTGGTCTGATTAGAGGTGCTTTTTGAGGAAGAAGAGAGTCCCTCCTCCCTCTGCCCTTTCTCCTCCTCTTACTTTCCTGTCTCCAGCTGAGTTCTGCAAAGAAAGTATGCTTTGCCCTAACAAAAAACAGGACTATGTAGCCCTTTAAAGACTAATAAGACAGTTTATTAGGTGATGAGCTTTCATGGGCCAGACTCACTTCCTCAGATCAAATTGTGGAAGAAAATTGGCATGACCATATATACCAAAGGAATATAATCAAAAAAAGTGAACACACATGAAAAGGACAAATCAAATGTCAGAACTGAGGGGGAGAGGTAAATGCCCTAGTACCACAATGGTAGGTGTCAGTCAACAGCAACCCTTCTGGATGATAATGGTGCAAAAGGATAGGCTCTGAAGGAAATGCTACCTGTGGATGTTGGTGAACTAACTGAGATTAAATAAGAGCTGACTATTTTGTCTAAAGTTGTCTTGAACTTTTTTTTTTGAATTTTAAACAAAATAATTCAATTTTAACTTACTTGATTTTTGTTTAGAGGTGGAAACGTTGAAAGACAGATTAGCACTAGCCTGTTTCCAGAATGTTTACTAAAACCCAGTTCTTGTACAAAATCTTAGTTTGCGGACTTGAGATACAGAAAGGTTAAGATTTGGTAATTTCTGGGTATCTTGCTCATCTGAGCTGCATCTCTTGAGGTTTCCTCCTTATTAGTGTCTTTCATATGGGCTCAGTTGCAAGCATTGGGAGCCATCATGTAGGTTCTGAGGATGGGCGTGGAGAGTGGAAAATGGCGAAACTCAGAATTTGGATACATTGGAATACTCTGAGGGAAGAGAAAGAAATTGATTTTAATTATGTGACGAAGCAGAGTTTAACATCTTTGTTTTAAAGTTTTGAACTTTTTTTTGTAATAAAACTCCTAGCTTGGCTTTTATGTTGGATTTTTACTGCAAGTTGATGAGAAACATGTAGCTTACTGTCAAAATTATGGTCTGAAAATGTCAGCTCGTGCCTTAAATACCATTATAATTTTTACCTGCTTCAGTTTAGATGATAAAAGAAATTAAGCATTTTTTCCAATAAATCCTTCTAGGAAGTGTTCTTTCCCAAAGGAGGAAAAAAAATCTTTCTTTGACAAGTATAAATTAAAATATTTTCTTCCCTTATATGATGCTGGGACTAGATTTTTCTGATGTAAAATTCAGAGGCAAAATTAGTAAGTAGCAGTATCGAAGAAGTTGCCTGCTTGCCATGAAGAGCTTATGGTGGGTTACTTTTGAGCCACAAACACTCACATTGAAATGTTCTAATAGCAGTGTGTTGAAATGCATACTTCTACTTAATGAGTTTTCTAGATAAAATTTCAAACCTATTTGACAATTTTTGACCTTGTGAAAAGCAACAAGGAAATACTGGAAAATAAAAGGCTGTTCATTTCTTTACTCTTAAGTATTCATAACTAGCTCTCACAAGAATCTGCTTTAAGAATACAAAAATAAGTATATGAAATATAGCATAGACTGGGATAAAGATGTTAAGGACTAGTTAACTATCTGATAAGCAAATGCTTATCAGATAATTGAGTCGACTAGTTGACCTCTTTCCAAAGGAGGGGGGGCAACAAAGGGGGGGGGAAGAGGGTACTTCAAAGCAGCAGCACCGCGCAGAAATGGTACCGGAGTCTGTGTGTGGCACTACCCCTTTGAAGCGCTGCCTCGGTGTTTCAAAGCAGCAGTGCAGCGCGCAGCTGGTGACATTTCAAAGGAGCAGCGCCACACAGAGCCCGGGATCAGCTGTGCAGCGCTGCCCCTTTGAAACGCTTCCATGGCGTTTCAAAGCGGCAGGCTGTGTGGAACCCAGGGTCAGCTTGGGGATTCCCTAGGTGACTCTGGGATCCCTGCAGCATTTCCGCAGAATCCTGAGTCAGCTGTGGACTCTCCAGCTGATCTCAGGCTCCGGTATGGCATTTCAAAGTGCGCAGAGCCCGGGGTCAGCTGGGGAATCTCCAGCTGACCCTGAGTTCTGTGGAAATGCAGTGCGGAGTCTTGGGTCAGCTGGGGACTCCCTAGCTGACCCCTGCGGCATTTTCATGGAACCCAAAGTCAGAAGGGGAGTCCCCAGCTGACCCTGGCTCCAGTGCAGAATTACAAAGTGTGCAGAGCCTGGAGTCAGGTGGGGAGTCCCCATCAGATCCTGGGTTCTGTGGAAATGCCATGTGGAGCCCGGGATCAATCCCAGCTGACCCCGGGCTCCGCACAGCATTTACCCAGAACCTGGGATCAACTAGGGACTTCCCAGCTGATCCCAGGTTCCAGTGCGGTATTTCAAAGAACGCAGAGCCTAGGGTCAGCTGGGGAGTCCCCAGCTGACCTCAGGCTCCACATGGCATGTCAAAGCGGCAGCACAGCATGGAGCCTGTAGTCAACAGAGGTCTCTTAATTCCTTGCTGACTTCAAGCTCCATGAGGGCACTTAAGCTTTGAAATGCCCTCCTGGAGCCTGGAGTCAGCAGAACTTCCCAGTGGCCCCACGTGGAGTTCCACATTCCTCCTTTGAAATGTACAAGAACCCCAACGGGAAGTACCTATTGAGTAGTCGATATGCCACTAATAAACTACTCGTTAGTTAATATCCTTAGACTGGGGGTGCGGAACCTTTTTTTGGGCCGGGTCACTGACCCTCAGAAAAATCAGTTGGGAGTCCCCACACAGGTGAGAAACAAAAATAGCAACAAACCCTCACTGACGTGGCCTCCGACTGAGAAGGAGAAAGACACTCCCCATGTTCCTGTCATGCACCAGAGTCTGGGGAGCTCAGACTAGTAGATTTTATGTGCCAGATACATTAAAGTTCCATATGTTTCTTCATACTATTCCGGAAGACATGTATCCATGCTGATAACAGGTTCTGCTCAATAACAATCTAAAGCAGTACTTATCGATTCATATTTATTTTCATCATTTGAGTTAAATGCTGCCAGCCGAAGGTTGATTTTCTTTTTTGGTGATTTGTGCAGTTTCTTTATCAGAGAGGTGCTTCTGAAAGCATGCTCTACACTTCTTCCCTCTCAGATTTTGGAAGCTCTTCAGATTCTTAAACCTTGTGACGAGTTCTGTATCTATCTTTAGACAATTCACGTTGGTACCTTCTTTGCATTTTGTCAAATCTGCAATGAAAGTGTTCTTAAAACAAGCGTGCTGAGTCATCACCCAAAACGGGTATAATATGAAATATGACAATGTGGGTAAAACAGAGACATACGGTTCTCCCCCAAGGAGTTCAATCAAAAATGTATTATCACATTCATTTTTTTAACAAGCTCCATCAGTCTAGAAGCATGTCCTCTGGAATCCATGGCTAAAGTATGACGGGCATATGAATGTTTAGCATATCTGGCCATATAAATATCTTTCAATGCCAGAAACAAAAGTGCCATGAAAATGCCTAATCTCACTTTCAGGTGACATTCTAAATAAGCAGACAGCATTATTTCCAGTAAATGTAAACAAATTTGTTTGTCATAGCAGTTTGCTGAACAAGAAATAGGGCAAAGTGCACTTGTAGGCGCTAAAGTTCTACATTTTCTTGTTTTTGAGTGCAGGTATGTAGCAAAACAAATCAATATTTGTAAATTGTACTTTCACAATAGAGAATTTTTTATCATTTTTACAGTGCAAATATTTGTAATAAAAGGAGTGAGCACTGTACAGTACACTTTGTATTCTGTGTTGTAATTGAAATCTATGTATTTGACAATGTAGAAGAACCTTCCAAAATATAACCAATTTTAATTGATAGTCTATTGTTTAACAGTCTGATTAAAACCTTGATTATTTTTTAATCATGATTAATTTGTTTTAGTCCTATTTAACTGTAATAGTAAAAAAAACTAGGGTGTAGTTTTTCTGGGTTTTTGCTCTCTCTCTATATATATATATATATTCTCAACTCTGACCTGAATGATCCTTTTACTTACAAATTTTCTCATTCACTCACAGAATCTTCCCTCCAAGAATCCTGTTCTGAAGGCCTGCATACAAGAAAGAAGCAGGGGGGAAAGCGTTACATGAGTACTTGAGTACAGCTGCAATTTAAATCCCTGACAGGTAGGCCCATTGTTTTGGTCTGCCAGCCTTGATAGTTAGGGTTGCCAGATGGTTGAAACAAAAATACTAGAAGCCAACACCCCTCTTTCCCCCCCCCCCCCAGAAGGGGGAAAAATCTGTTGAAGGGGGGGAAAAAAGGGGAGGGGGACCAAAGTTGTTGAGCACAAAAAAAAAGAACTCCAAGTAAGCCCTCCCCCCCCCCAAAAATTAAATTAAAACAGCACGTCCCCTTTAAGAGTGTAGGGATAGGAACAGGGGAGAAGTTGAGCACTAAGACCCAGGGGAAAGCGTTGCTTCCCCTAGGTCTTTTGGCCGGCAGCCATTTTGTGCTGGTCCATCAATGGCTATTAGCCAGGATGGGTAACAATGGTGTCCCTAGCCTCTGTTTCTTTGGAGGTGGGGGCTGGGGGTTTTGGAGTGCGGGGGGGGAGGCCGGGCGCTGAGTGTTTGTGGGGTTGCCAGGTGCCTGGCATTTTCGCCTCCTGGCCAGGGAAAAATTCAGAAAATACTGGACATTTTAGGTGTCTGGTATTCTCTGAATTTTTTTACTGGACAGGAGCCGAAAATACAAGATTGTCCAGGTGAATACCGGGCACCTGGCAACGCTATTGATAGTATCATTTAAACTTTATAATCAACTGCATTAAGAACTCACTAAGAAGATAATACAAACTAGAATGAGTAGGGGAAGATGTATTTAGAAAGTTGGTAATCATCTAAAGACCAACATCTGTGAGCTCGGAATGGCACATTTCAGGATCTTGGACCATAATTTTTAAATGTATATTTCCCACGATTGAAATATCTGAACAGTTAAATACCAGTCATTCTCACTTAGACATACTGCCAATGTCTAGTCAGAAAGTGTTGGCAATAAATGATACATCCAAAATGTTTTGAAAGGTGTTTTTTTTTAATTGCTTCCTGTAAACATTGGTTTCCAAATAAAATTCTTCTGAAAAGTGAACCTAATAAAAACCAAACCAGCCAACCAATAACAAATTCAGTACTCAGATTTTCTAAAATTTGAGAACTCCTTATCTGGATTTTTCAAGTTCTCAGCAAAATGTTTTTTAGCTCTGTAGTTATCACACATTTCACAAGGCAAGGGCCCAAGTGTTGTGCAGTCTTGTTAGAAATACTGACTCAGAGGCAAGTCTAAACTGATGTAACTTGTATCCTCTTCTGGACCTCCATGGCACTTAAGAAGTCTAAACAAGTGTGATTTAAGACTCTCACTCTTTTATCAATGTGTAATTTTGTAATGTCATTTATTTTTGCCCTTTCCAGATATATTGGGAAGTCAGATTCAATAACGATCAGTGTATGGAACCACAAGAAAATCCATAAAAAACAGGGAGCTGGTTTTCTGGGTTGTGTGAGACTTCTTTCAAATGCAATCAACCGCCTTAAAGACACTGGTTGTAAGTACACTAAGTGCTAACATTTTTTTCTCTAGTTTAGAGCATTTTTGTAAAGAGTGTAAAAAAATATTGTGGCAACTCTGTATGTACCTGAATGTTTTGGTTTTGTTTTGCCCTTTTCAAAGCCTTGTATCTTTGGCTGGCTAGTCAATTGCAATATCTTCATAGAATTTAAGGCAGTGGTTCTTAGCTTTTTGTTTCCAGCCTACATAATACAGTGGAATGTTTCCAAACTCCCTCTGCTCCAGATACAAAGAAGAGGAGGGTTGCCACCCCCAGATTGAAAATCCATGACTTGGGCCATGTCCATAGGTATAGCACTGTAGAAGCATAACAGTACCATTTATAACTACACTGCTGCAGCGTGTCTAGTGAAGACACTCTATGCCAGCGAGAGAGCTCTCTCCTATTGACATAATAAAATTATCTCCATGAGTGGCAGAAGCTATATTGGTGAGAGAAGCTGTGCGCTTGTGCTCTGATGACAGTGTAATTTTTGTTGCTCAGAGGGGTGTGGTTTTTCTACATGCCTAAACAACATAAGTTATGCCAACATAAATTGTTGTGTAGACATAGCCTAAGCCTATTGACTTTATAACCTTCTTGGGCTTCAGCTATTTCATGAATGAAAACTGGTTCAATCCTAAAATTTGTATGCTAAATGACTGAGTAGTTATCAGAAGAATAACTGTTTCTATCTTTTCACAGACCTTTTATTTTTGCACAAACTTGGGATGCTATTAGAGTTGTTGGCTTTATTTAACAGTCAACACTTATTTGGAATATTTTACCTCATAGATTACAAACATATACAGCAAACTTCCAATAATCTGGCACCTTTAGGACCCAGGGGGTGCTGGATTATCAAATATGCCGGACTATCAGAAGTGGGGGCTATGAGGGGATTGGGGAGGAGTGGGGGGGATGCGCCCCTCGGCACTGCGGGACCAACCCGGCAGCACCCAGCTGCTCTGCCCCAGACTTCCCCAAGCCAGCAGCTGACTCCGGGAAGCCTGGGGCAGAGCAGCTGGGGGGCCCTGCCCCGGGCTTCCTAGAGTCAGCCGCTGGTCAGTTTCAGCAGCTGCTGACTTGGGGAACTCTGGGGCAGAGCAGCTGGGGTGCTGCTGGGTTGGTCCCGCAGCACCGAGGGGTGGCGCTACGGGACCAACACGGCAGCACCCCAACAGCTCTGCTCCAGACTGGTCAGTTTCAGCAGCGGCTGAATCGGGGAAGCCAGGGGCAGAGCAGCTCCAATTGTCCGGCTGCCCAGAACACTTCGGGGTTCCAAATGGTGCCGGACCATCAAGAGTGCCAGACCATTGGATGCCGGACCAGGGGAGTTTTACTGTAATTTGATACTTGTAATGAAATACGCAGAGGTAAAATAGTCCTAGCACCAGCAAGACTCACTTTACACTGTTTTCTCTCTCAATTCTTTATGTACATTAGTGATATCTTTTGGACCACTACAAGTTGGCAATATCTTTTGTATAGAAAGTCTTACTTTATGCATGTCCCAGTGCAACAAAAGTATGCTAGAGGTAGATAAAATTGTATACTTAGAATCTTTAAGATAGCTTTTCCAATGAGACCACTCAAAATGTAGTTCATCTTAGGTCTTAGAATCTCACGTTTGTTGCTGCACTAAACTGCTCAAGATAGTTAAATCCAAAGCAGATTCTGAAGAACTTCAAAAGAACCTCACAAAACTAGGTAACTGAGCAACAAAATAGTAGATGAATTTTAATGTTGATAAATGCAAAATAATGCATATTGAAAACATAATTCCAACTATACATATATAATGATAGTGACTAAATTAGTTATCACTCAAGAGAGATCTTGGAATCATTGTGGATAGTTCTCTGAAAAAATCCACTCCATCTACTGCAAAAGTGGAAAAAAAAGCAAACAGAATGTCAGTAATCATTAAAAAAGGATAAAGAATAAGACAGAGAATATCTTATTGCCTCTATATAAATCCATGGTATGCCACACCTTGAATACTGCAGGCAGATATGGTTACCTCATCACAAAAACATATCTTGGCATTGGAAAAAGTTCAGAAAAGGGCAACAAAAATTATTAGGGGTATGAAACAGCTGCCATATAAAGAGAGACTAATTAAAACTGGGATTTTTCATCCTAGAAAAGTGAAGATGAGGGGGGATATGATAGAGGTCTATAAAATCATGGCTGGTGTGGAGAAAGTAAATAAGGAAAAATTATTTACTTGTTTCCATAACATAAGAACTAAGGGACACCTAATGAAATTAATAGGTAGCAGGTTTAAAACGAACAAAAGGAAGTATTTCTTCATGCAATGCACATTCAGCTTGTGGAACTCCTTGCCAGAGGATATTATGAAAACCAGGACTTTAACAGAGTTCAGAAGAACTAGATAAATTCGTGGAAGTTAGGTCCATTATTAGCCAGAATCTGTAGAATCATAGAATAATAGGACTGGAAGGGACCTCGAGAGGTCATCGAGTCCAGCCCCCCGCCCTCAAGGCAGGACCAAGCTCCATCTACACCATCCCTGACAGATGTCTGTCTAACCTGTTCTTAAATATCTCCAGAGAGGGAGATTCCACCACCTCCCTTGGCAATTTATTCCAATATTTGACCACCCTGACAGTTAGGAATTTTTTCCTAATGTCTAATCTAAACCTCCCCTGCTGCACTTTAAGCCCATTACTCCTTGTCCTGTCCTCAGTAACCAAGAGGAACAAATTTTCTCCTTCCTCCTTGTGACACCCTTTTAGATATTTGAAAACCGCTATCATGTCCCCCCTTAATCTTCTTTTTTCCAAACTAAATGGTGTCCCTAGCTTCTGTTTGTCAGAAGCTGGAAATGGGCAAGAGGAGGAGGATCAATTGATGATTTCTTGCTCTCTCCATTCCCTATGGGACACTGGCATTGGCCACTGTCAGAAGACAGGATACTGGGCTAGATGGATCCAGTATGGTCATTCGTAGGGTCTTACTAGTTTGGTGCTTCTGGTACTAATTGTGCACATTAAACTTCATATATTAGAGCGGTAAAGGAAGACAGTTTCCAGTCACTGCTTTTATTACTTTCAAAGATACGACTCTTATCACAATTATATTGTTTGGATTCCAAGTGTTAAACTTGTTTTTTCTTTCATAAAGTGCAAAGAGGTGTATGATGGGTAACTTTAATTTGAAATTAGAATTCTGTAGTTTAGAATTAGTAGAACTTCAATTTTTATTTACGTAGCTTGTGCCTAAATGTTAAATAGTTTTTAATGAACTTTTACAATATTGAGGATTTACTTTTTTAAGAGAATGTTAATAAAAATTGTAAAATGCCTTTCTCATTATGTTAATTAACAAGGATGCCATTTAAATTGGTAAGAGAATAGTAATTGATCAGTTATAAGGCATGCTGGCCGCTGGACTAAGTAAGGATGTTAAAATGTGGTTACTTTCCTAATCGAGTAGTCGATAGGGTTTTTTTTTTTTTTTTTTAAATTGACTACCTGATTAGTCGATAAGGGTCAGCATTCCAGCGCTCAGTCTGGCTTGTGGGTTCCAACATAAGCTGCGCTGCTGCTGCTCTTCATTACAAGGGACTGGGTTATGCGGGCTGACCAATGACTTGCGGGAGCAGGGACTGAGCTGCAGTCTTCACACACCAGTCTACCAGGCCCTTATTATGCAAAGCAGCAGCAGGGGAGGTTATGCGAGCTTACCTATGACCCACGGGAGCAGGGTCTGAGCTAGTATCTTTGTGCGCTAGCTCACCTGTCCCTTGCAATGCAGAGCGGCAGTAGAGGACGTTCTGTAGGCTGACCAATAACCCGCGGGAGCAGGGACTGAGTCAGCATCTTTGTGCTCTGGCTCCCCTGTGTCTTAATATTGCAGAGCTGCAGCTAAAGGGGGGGGGAGAGAAGCGACTAGTCAATAGTGCTAACCGATAAGCTCCTGCTTATTGGTTAGTCGACTAGTCACTTACAACCCTAGAACAAAGCTTGGCAAACAGCTCTTGTTGAAAAATACATGCTTACCTGGATAGGCCAGTCAGGCTCTCCCGCTTCCTCCCGCCCTCCCAGGAAGTATGCTAGTCTCCCAAAAAGTAGATTCTTAAAGATGAAGGAACAACTGACTCTCTAATTTCGAACTTCTTGTTGTTGTCTCAGTGGTTCAATACATTGCATTTTGCTGAACTGCTTGGATTTCTTGCTGTTTAGTGTTGAGTATGTGCTCATTTGATGGATGTTCCAGTTTAGCTATGTCTGTGTTAATGTCTCTCTTGTACTATTATCAGATGCCATGGCGACATTGATTTATGGCATTGGTTGCTCTCCACGAGGGGAAAAAGGCAGTTATGTTTCAATACCATGTGACCAGGCTAGATTCTGATAGCTGAGAAATGAGAGAGGAAGAGGAGAGTAAAAATTGTGAGGAGGAAAACTGTGAAATGGGTCATGGAATAGATTATTTTTTAAAGGAATTAAATGCTTTTCTGACTTTCAATTTTAGAAGTATGAAAATTCAGTGTGCTGTCTTAAGAATTTTGTTTTTTCTCCTTTCTGAATTCTAGCATATATAAAGTAGCCCAGATCTTGCTTTTACGGCAATTCAGCATGTCCTTAAAAGCAGACAAATATTATGTAGTTAAAAATAGATATTTCCTAATTTTATAGATCAGAGGCTGGATCTATGCAAACTTGGGCCAAATGATAATGATACTGTTAGAGGACAGATAGTAGGTAAGTGTGGATTTCTTTTGTTAAAGTTCAATTGAAATGTTCTTTTCAATTATACTATCAGCTTCTAGATTGGTGTTTTCTGGACTAGAGTAACGATGATGTTTTCAAATTTTGTAAAGTGCCAAAAGCACTTTTAAAAAAAAAGTGTATGTGCATGCACTGGAGCTCGTGCAGAGTTCTCAACAAAAATAACAACGCCCAAAAAAGCAAAATATAGTACAAGCTTTGTTATCCAGCATTCATTGGGAATGGGGGTTGCCATTCATTCAAATGTGCCAGTTGCTTGAGTTTTACACTGATGGTTCATAAATTTTTCACTGTACACTAGCCGTATTGTAGGACGGATTAGATAATATCTGATAATGGTATTGTACACAAGTGCAACATGGACAAACTTGACTTCTGCAAGCACTGGAAAAAATTGAAAAATGGTGCTGGAGGAATTGTATTGCTGTCTGTGACGGATGCTGGTTAACAGAATTTTCCAGATATTAAAGTGCAGGATGACAAAGCTTGTACTGTAGTACTGAAATGAGGCAAACTAGACCACAATAATATTAGTATAAATGCATCAAAAGAAAACTGACTTGAGCTTTGCTAATGATGGATGCCTGACAAGGATGCTGTTACTAGGGCGAGTTCTTCTTTAGGATAACTTCACGAATATATTGTGTATTTTTATGGGGTTTTTAAAAATGTTTCTTGCTTCAATCTCAGTGGCTATCACTGTATAATTCATGTACTTTGTTCCTAAATCATTTAATATTTTAAACACTATATGAATAATTCGTGGAAGCTTTCTTCTTTTGCTGCATTCTGATTTGTCATTCTGAGTAATTTTGAAGTACAGCCCTGAGTGGAGCACATTACAGTAGTTTAGCCAGGAAGTCACCGTGGTGAGGTCTGTATTTTTGTGGGATAGCTGTAATCTATGAATATTCCCCAGATGGAATAAAGATCTGGGCCTCCATGTTTAGCTCCTGGTAATAAAATCCCCAAGTGGTGTACCTGATCCATCTTGCTGGGGAAATCTGTACCAATAGACAGGCAGGCAGCAAGTGAGGGCTTCTGGATGTTTATAATCCTCCTCAAAATACTCTGTCCATTGGTCCCTCCAGTTTGTTAGCTTTTTTTTAACTAGCTGTTTTTGCCTCCAGTTTGCAGTCTAAGGGTACATCTAGACTACATGCCTCTGTCGTCAGAGGCATGTAGATTAGGCTACCAGGCATAGGAAAATGAAGCGGCGATTTAAATAATCGCGGCTTCATTTAAATTTACATGGCTGCTGCGCTGAGCCGACAAACAGCTTTAGTAATTCACTAAGGGTACGTCTAGACTACATGCCTCTGTCGCCAGAGGCATGTAGATTAGGCTACCAGGCATAGGAAAATGAAGTGGCGATTTAAATAATCGCCGCTTCATTTAAATTTACATGGCTGCCGCGCTGAGCCGACAAACAGCTGATCAGCTGTTTGTCGGCTCAGCGCGGCAGCCATGTAAATTTAAATGAAGCGGCGATTATTTAAATCGCCACTTCATTTTCCTATGCCTGGTAGCCTAATCTACATGCCTCTGGCGACAGAGGCATGTAGTCTAGACGTACCCTTAGTGAATTACTAAGATAGCATGAAGACAGAGATGTGAGTGATGTCAGTATCATTAACATGCTATTAATGCTTCAGCCCATACTGATGTATCAGTTTTCTACTGAACAGGGGGTTCACACTGAACAGTAATGAAAACCCACTTGCAGTAGCTCCCTTGGTGCTGGTGGAGTACCCAGAGCTGCCAACTGACACCTGCTTGAAAGCAGTGTTCCTCTCTTCCCTAAAAAAATCCATAGTTTGTCAAGTTATAAAATGTGCTACATCAGAACCACTGATGCTTCCATCTGTAATAGTAGTGTTTGCAAATTGTGTTCTGAACTATTAATTTTTGAAAGGTCTTGTGTCTTCAGTCAGTGTGGTGTCTAACTTAAGGGATGCGCACCAAGGTTCCAGAGGCTCCTATCCTTTTTTGTTGAAAATTCATTGTTAATCTTAAATTTTTCTTCACGAATACAGTTTTTTGTGGGTGAAAGGATTCAGATGAAACTAGGTAATTCTGGAATAATAGTTAGAGTAGAGATATTTTAAATAAAAATAAATTGTAGTCGAAATTAGTTGGAAGTGGGCATTAGCTTTATAACATGGTGAAATGGCCTTAATTTAAGGACAGGTAAAATTGAAAGGCAAATTATTCTTTTTCAGTCTAAGTGGTATCTTCTGCAATTGATTGACTAGGGTACCTTCAACAAGGGGAAAATAAGTGGAATGCTTTTGGTTAATGGATACAAAGGGCACCTGAACTGTATCTTAATTTTGCAGTGCTCTTCTGTGCCACTATTTTATTTCTGGTGTGGTGGTGCAGAAAAATGAGTCCTTACTCATTACAAAATGAAGCTGTCCACAAATTTTGGTTCTCACACAGATAAAGAGGAGGTAATTATTTAGTTTCATTTTTGTCTGGGTTTGTTGCAGAATAGAGTAAATCAGACAGTCCCTTTCCCTTTTAAGAAAAGAGCTGTCCACCTTTCTCTCTAATAAAGACCACACTGTAAACTTAGTTCTTGTCAAAGGTTTAAGCGTTAATATTGGCTAGAAATGAAGTTAATGCGCACACATACTTCAAGGCTTCTTGTATAGCTTAGTCTCCCAGTTGTCTGAATTTCAGCATGCCTTTTGGTTCAGAACTGGGTCTGTTTTGCAGAGGTTGGCAATACTGCTAAATTATCTTGGGGTTTGATGTTATGGGGCAAATGCTCATTTGCTCTAGATTAAGGCCATTAAATTAATTTTCACTTCATTTGTGAACAGGATTCGAACACAGGTGTCCAGAGATGTCAAGGTGTATTCATGTCACACAGCCGGCAGAAAACTGTCATTTAGTCTCATACTTGACTACCCTCTTAACAACAAAATGCAACCTCGGTATTCAGATCAGACATTTTGCAAGTTGCTGTGTCAGGAACAAAAATTGTCCATAACACGTCATAATTGGAATGAAAAAGCTTCTAGCATAACAGTGGTGTTTTTAAATGTTAGGACTGTAGCATGTAATACACTTTTGGTTTGTTTATAATTTTTATTATAAGTACTAGTGTTTTGATGGATGCTTTTGAAATAGATTTAAACATATTTGAATTGTGTACCACTGATACTTCAATGTTAGTTTACTTAGGTCCCTAATAGTCAAAATGTATAGTGCACATAGCATTTAAACTTTGCCTGTTTTTGTGATAATTTTTTATGATTTTTCAAGCTCATTCATAGTATTTAGGTTGAAATTAAGTTATTGGAAACTGCAGATTCAACCCCTTTACAGACCCAGTCGTGAATGCTGCTTTCCATTAGAAGTGTTCCTTTTCCATTTGTAATAAAAGTCTGACACTGTGCATGAAATCAGCCACCCTACCCTGCCAGCTGCAGAGTTCAAAACTTTGCTTTGGATTCTGTTGCAATATCTTTAATAGTTATCTTTCAATATTTTAATAGTAAGTCTTCAATCCAGAGACCGAATAGGCACAGGAGGACAAGTTGTGGATTGTAGTCGATTATTTGATAATGATTTGCCAGATGGGTAAGAGAACACTTATGTTCACTTTATTATTAACCTTTGAAATGATGAGAAGTCAAAGTAAAGTTAGACTAATTTTTTTTTTTTTTTTTAAATATTTGTAAATGTATAGAAGTTTAAATTTAGGAGCCGGGGACATACCAGTAACTGACGTAAGTACTGTAATAGGTCCTTTGTTAATAGTGTGAACATTGTCTATCTGTGATTTTGGGGTATAGGGAAGCATATTACGTAAGTGAGTGAATGAAAGTATATACCCAAGAACCCACAACTGGTTTGAGAATTATAGAACAGAAAAGTGACCTACATGAATATAATGTAAATCTAAGCAGTAACGAACATTCTTGAACAGCCCTGCTTCAGCCACAAAATAATCTAGTAGGATCCAGTGCCTTAATTTTGTACCCTGTGTAATGTAAGAAGAGCCTGCCCAAAATGTCTTCCTCAGAGTTGTAGAGAGGATATGGTATTTTTTAAAATGTCTGGGTTTTTTAATAAATCAAGAAACAGTATTATTCAGGATAGTGGAGACTAAATTCTTTCTGTATTTTTGCCCACCAAAGACTGGTTTCAGGATATTTTTCCTGTGTAAAACTGATGCGCTCGATACCTAAAACCGTTTTGGGAGTTCAGCAAAATTTTCTGTTTTAAGCACTTTGGAAAGACAGAATCCTGAATGAGAGGCTTGTCAGGAAAAGCCAGAAGAAAGCTGATTTTTTTTCAATTTTCATTTAAAAATAATATAAATTATCATGTTCAAGCCCTAAACGACATTGTGGTGTTCCTTGAGAGTCTGAAGAAATTTTAAGAAAATTCTAAACCTTATGTAATTCATTGTTCAGTGTTCCTCTTCTAAATATTTTTTAGCTTTGTATTTATACAATTAACTAGCTTAATCTTTTGAGAGGAGAATTTTTAATGGAAAAATAAATGGAAAGGCCTTCTAATTTAAAGATAAATAGTATTTTTATCAAAGGAAATTGGTGCAAAAAGGTACTAGAATCATTGTTGGTACACAAAGAGCGAGGTCGACTGCACCAAAGAGCTTCTGGTGCTTCACATTAACTTGTTGCCTAACATTTGTAACCGATAACTTAATCATTAACAGTAGTGGAACAGAATTTTAAAGAATGCATATATTTGAGGCAAAGGTGGAGAGAAAATATCTTACAAGTTTTTAGATATGAATTTAGGAGTAATGTGTTTATTAATTAACATGACTTAAGTCTATGTACAAGAGATTTCATTTTTAATGGGTATAGATAAGTTTTGTTAATTCACCATCATTAAAATAAATTATATTGAAGCAAGCAGTTACCAAATTAATACAAATTTGAGTGCATTATCAAACATTTTTATCAGGACCCTTGTGGGGTGTTTGGAGGTAATTTCAGTTTGAATAGTTACTGGAAGTGAAGGCATAACATTGTTAATGACTGTCTGGCTTTAAGAAGAAAACATCTTTCTATATATATATAAAAATGTTTTTCCTGTGGGATGTCACTCAGGACGTGTCACTCAGCATCCCACAGCCCCTCTCCTCTCAGCTGCCCCACCTCCTCCCTTTCTCCCTCCTCCCACTGCTAACCCAGTGGGGACTGGCAACCTATGGCTCCCAAGCAGCAGCAGCACTGAAGATAAGCTGCTGCTGCTGGTGGGCTTGTGGGGGGGAGGAGAGAGGAAAATTGTGGTGCTCTGAGGGTAGAGCGGGGGCCAATAGAGAGGCCTGCTGCAGGGGGGCCTGCACTGGGGGACACCTTGGCCTCTAGGCCGGGGATAGCTGTACCACGTGGTGGCGGCTGTAGTTTTAAATTGCACTGCTCTGGTGATGTGGAGGGTAGGGGCCAGCGGTGAGGCCTGTGGTGGTGGTGGTTGGGGAGGCTGTGTGAGGGGCTGGCTGAAGAGGTGGCAGTATTGGGGGACACCCCCCCTCCCACAGGTCTTACTGCCTCCCCCCCGCCCCAGCCGCTGGAGCACCTCACTTTAGAACTCCGATGAGCGGCTGCTGGAGTTTTAAATTGCAGTCCTCTGTCCTGGGCCTTGATGGTGGGCAGAGCGCAGGGCCTGGCAAGGGGCCTGAGCCCCGCTCCCCCACACGGGTGACCAGAGGGCTGTGTGCAGGGCCAGGGCCTGGACTTGGGGAGAGGGCAGGGTTTGGTGTGACCGGGGAGGGAAGGTGAGGGATAGCTGGGGCTGGAATGGTGGGGGAACAGGGGCTACAAGCTGTGAGGTCTTACCCCTCCCAGGGGTGGGAGACTGGAGCTGCAAGGTCTGTCCCTTTGAGTGGGGGTACACTACACACCCTCCCCCCTTGCAGCTGGAGGGAGAGAGCCAGGCTAGCCTCGGCCCAGCTCAACTCCCTGGCAGCTGGAAGGAGAGAGCCGGGTCTGCTTTGGGGGTAGTTGAGGGGGGGAGAGCTGAAGCAGGCCGTGGCTGATAATCTTTGGCCTGGCCCTCTCCAGCAGCCAGGGCGGAGAGCTGGGGCTGCCTATCCCTACAGTGTAGCGAGCAGGGGCACCGCCCCCTAATTTTATTAAATCTGAGAGTTGGACTTTCACTGTTTAGCATGTTCAGCTACTGTGATTCATAATAGATTGTCTTCCTGAGTTGGCTGTTCTGTTAGAAACGTCTTTGTGCCCTGGTTTCCTGGAAATATCACTTGTTGCCTTATCTCTCTCAATGTCTGAATTTTAGTTGGGAGGAGCGGAGAACTGCCTCTGGAAGGATCCAATATTTAAATCACATTACAAGGACAACTCAGTGGGAACGACCAACAAGGTAAGAGATTATAAAATATGCCTGTAGTGTTCACCTGCTGATCAAAAGCAATGAGCATCCACAGCTCCCATTGGGCTCAAAAGGAGGTGCTCGGCAATCTCTGAAAATCTGGCCCCAGATATTTTATTCTCTTCCCCCTCCTGCTTAACTCCCAGAAATCATTCCCGCAGTGCTCTTGCTACATTTAAAAGGCAGAGGTGCCACAGCACTAGCTCCTGCTCCCCTGCCCTTGCTGCCTCTGATACAGAATGCTGCTGCAAAAATCATTTTTCTAACTCATTGCTTTTATCATGTTGCCCTTCTTTCTGAATCCCTTTACTGGCTCCTCCTTCTGCTCTCTTATTTACTTTTAAGGCACTTCGAAGTCATTCTTCATCCTCTGATACAGAGGCAGTAGGGGGGAGGGAGAAGCAACTAGTCTAGTAGTGACTCAACTATCTGATAAGCCTATGCTTATTGGGTAGTCGAGTAGTCACTTATATCCCTAAATCTGACTTTAAATGATTGTTAAATATTCAGTTCTACAATATTCCTGCATTTCTCAATTGAAAGAACTGACCATTTATTAAATCAAAATATGAATTTATATATTCCTAGTTTATTAAAAATGTCTGTCTTAAGGTCTAGACACAGACATGTATAGTAGAAAAACAAATACAAAAGTATTGCTGGTTTGAGATGTGGGTAGACCCTGGTGCTTATATGGATCCCCAGTTGATAACATTGGAGATTGTATGAAAGATCATTTTATGAAGCTGTAATGTTTATAACTTTTCTTCACTATGGCAGTCTATCGGGACTAACAACTACAACCACACTTATCCCATTTAAACTATCCTTATCTGATACTCTTCTCAGAAGTGTGGGTGGAGAGGGGAAACAGACAAGCCTTGTAGCATACCCTGATCTCCACATGCTCTAATCTAATCCTGTCATTTACCCCTTTCACAGTCTTCTCTCTTTACACTTTTTTATCTTTGGCTAAACTCCTTCACAAACTCAGCTTTCATGTCTCTTCTGATAACTCCTCTCTACTCTGGTCTTTCTCCCTGTCTCCCAACTAAAGCCTTGACCTGTCTCTCGGACATCACTTTCAGGATGTCTAGCTTCCAGCTCAAGCTTAAACATGGCTGAAATAGATCTCCAGTTTCCCCATACCCCTAAAGTCTTCTCTGCTACCTGCTTTCTCTATCACTGTGAACAACACCAGAATCCTGCCTGTCACTCCCCATACTTGTAACCTGGGCATCCTCTATGACTCAGATCTCTGTGTAGCTTCTCACATCCATGCTATGTCTAAATCTCACTGTTTTTTTCTGCATAACATCAGTAAGATGTGGCTTTTTGCTCCATAGGGCTGCTAATGTGTGGAGACTGCTGCCTATTGTTCTGAACAGTATTGTCTTATTGTTTACTTGTGTGTCTCCATCTGTTCCTTCTTGTTTTATAATTGTATGTCCCTTGGGACGTGGACTGTCTTTTTGTTCCATTTCTGAACAGTGCCTAGTGCAGTGGGATAATGGTTTATGACCTGGGCATTATGGAAATACAAATAATAGCAGCATCATGCTCAAGAGGGACCAGCGGAAAACATTCTAGAGCTGCAGGCCCCTCACTAAAAATATCCTACTGCCAGCACCCTCTTTTTAACAATGTGCGTGCAAGTGCTACATCAAGTGCTTCACGTGACCTAAACCAGTAGTTTTCAGACTTTTTTTTTTCTCATGACCCAGTTGAAGAAAATTGTTGATACCCACGACCCACTATAATTTGACTAGAGTGTGGGCTCTGGGGTGGGGCAGAGGATGAGAAGTGTGGGGTGTAGAAAGGGGCTCTGGCTTTGGAGGGTGATCAGGGCTGGGGCAGAAGAGACTTATCGTGAGTAGCTCCTGGTCAGTGGTGCAGCGGGGGTGCTAAGGCAGCTTCCTGCCTTTCCTGACAACGCAGACCATGGTGTGCTCCAGAAGCAGGCAGCAGCAGGTTCCCAGCCAATGGGAGTGCGGAGCTAGTGTTTTTGGGGCAAGGGCAATGTACAAAGCCCTGTGCACTCTTTCTCCCCCTCCTCCACCCCCAGATGTAGGAGCCACGCCTGCTGTGAACTCTGCAGTGCCAGGACAGGCAGGTCGCCTACCTTAGCACTCCCACTGGTCACCTGATTCCCCTGCAGCAACCAAACCCAGTGCCTAATATTTCAGGACCCAAAGTTTGAAAACTACTGACCTAGACTGATGCAGCAGCAGAGAGTAGCAGTTTTTAACATAGGCAAAAGCCATAAGAATCTGACCTAAAATGAATACCCTGAGTTGTATTTGGAAGCTAATGAATAGCAGTGCTTATCACAGAGCACAGGCATAATGTGCTTCCTGCAAGAAGCACTGCTTAGCTAATGGTCTGCGACATTCTGCCCTAGCTAATGTTTTTGAATGGTCTTCAGATGTAACCTATAGAGTACACTGCAGTAAAATCTTTATATGACCAATACATGAGTAGCTTAGCAAGGGCTACATAACAAAATAATAGTTTGCTGCCTTATCAAAGATGTGCAAAAACAGTCTTGATGCAGCTAATACCTGAACATTTCTCATGTTTTATTAAATTAAGACTTAAACTTGAGTGATTGTTTCCTGTACTTTTAGTGACTGATCCTTTTATCTATTGTATGTAAATGTGTTGATTCATAAAAGATAGATGGTGTGGTTGGAGAGAATAATTTCCTTTGATACAAAAATAACCTTTTCTCATTACCTTCCAATAGACCAGCATCTGAATATTCTAGTCCAGGCAGACCTCTGAGTTGCTTTGTGGATGAGAACACACCAATTACAGGAACAAATGGTGCAACATGTGGACAGTCGTCGGATCCCAGAATGGCAGAGAGGAGAGTCAGGTCTCAAAGGCACAGGAATTACATGAGCAGAACACATTTACATACTCCTCCTGACTTGCCTGAGGGATATGGTATGTGAATTTAGAAGATAGTGTCATATTATTTCAGTCATGTAAGAAATTGGGTAAATGAGGTCCCTTCTACCCTGCTTTTTGTAATTTTGGGGGGGGGGGGGGGGGAAAATGCTGACCTGTTTGTTCAGTTTTGGCAAAGTTTTAAATTTTAAGATTGGACTTCAGAAAATAGCCTTGTTGTAAAGCAGTCAAGAGACATTTTGTGAGGGCTTTTTGCACGCGACCGTAGGTTCCTAGCGCCAATTGTGGCCCTGCTTCCCAGTCACTCCCCTGCCCCCACCAGGCTTCCCTACGGCACCCAGCCGGGAATTCAGAAAATACTGGACATTGCACATGTCTGGAATTTTCTGATTTTTTTCTACCGGACAGACAGTGCAAATATCGGACTGTTGGTAGAAAACCGGACACCTGACAACCCTACCAGGGACACCCCGTCACCTCCCCTGCCAGACGTGGCAGGGGGAAAATGTTCCGGCCTCCCATCTGAGAAAAACAGAAAATACTGGACATTTTGCATGTCTGGTATTTTCCCTTCTTTGTGTTTTAATTTTTTTTTTTAACGGACAGAAGACACAATTACTGGACTGTCCGGGCGAAAACCGGACACCTGGCAACCCTAGCTGGAGCAGCCGTGAAAAACCACTCCCTCCTCTCCCGTGCTCACAGTTGGTGAAATACAAATGGCCCAGCAGCCGCTTTTCTGAGCGGGGCAAGCAGTGGCGTCTGCCTGAGGCTCCCTGCTGCGTTGGTGGGCTTGATCCAGCCTGCAGAGGGTATTTTGCCCACGCCTGTTTTATGAGCTCTCTAAATACCAAGAATAGTTTAAATGTAAAAGCATAATTTCGTTCTTGTGCCTTCTATACTCCCATTGAAGTGGTAGGGTTTATTTATGACTTGAGAAGGGAAGGAGAAACTTACACTTTTAAAACTTGTAGCATTAGAGCTCACTCAGTACAACACTCACTATGGTCAATTGATGTCTTTCCACTGACTGCAGTGGGGGTTTGATGAAGCCATGTATCAGCATGATGGAAAGCCTCTCCCTTATATTTTGTTTATAGGTGAAGGGTGATAAATTGCAAGTTAAGAACTAGAATGGAGGAAGCCTGGTGTCAGTAGAAATGTACATTACAATAAGATACATTGTTCTTTGAGTGATTGCTCCTGTGCATTCCAATAGGTGTGTGAGCGGTGTGCACAATCCTTGGAAAGACTTTCCCTAACAGTACCCGTCAGGTTAGCTGTAGCACTCCCTGTGGTGATGCCTCAAAGTGTTGTGTGTAGATCTAGCCCTGCTGCAAGGTTCCCTCTAAGCTGCACAGCACCATGGCCTCGCAGATGCTTAATGAGACCTGCATGGAGCTGCCTGGCTGGGGGAGGGGCACTTCCTCCTAGGCTACAACAGCAGATCCCTGCTGAGGACAGAGCAGCAAGTCTCTCTCAGCTGGTAGGGAGGGGATATGTCCCTCCCCCAGCTGGGCAGCTCCTGTGCAGCAGCCATGAGCCCCTGGCCAGACCTCATTAAGCAGCTGTGGGGCCATGCTGCCGCGCAGCTTAGAGGGAATATTGCCCTGCCAACCTGACTCCCACTTATGTTCCTTCTTTCTATCAGTGATGGTCGTTGGAGTTTCTCACTTCTTGCTTAGCCAGTAGTTCTTCCCTAGTGTGTAGTTTGAGTTCTTTGTTGTGTAGATAATTGTAGATAGATAGTTGTTTTATGAGGGTTTTCCCCCTCCACTTGCAAAGTCTATGGGGCATGCAGAGGCTTCAAAGGTTTAAATCAGGGGTGGGTATCCTAAGGTCCAGGGACTAGATCTGGCCCTGGGCTTCCCTGGATCTGGCCCCCAAGGCTCCCCAGTATTGTGGAGCCTGTGCTGGAGCTTCAGTCCCCCGCTGTCCCACTGCAGGACTGGAGTGCACAAAATCTACTAGCCTGGGCCTCCCAGGTTCTGGTGTTTGAGGGGGATGTGTGGAGTGTCTTTCTTCTTCTCAGGTAGGGGACACGTCAGTCAGAGTTTGTTTTGATTTAATTTGATTTTTTTTTTCTTTTTGCTTCACACTTTTCTGTCTGCCCCGGACTGATTTTTCTGTTGGTCAGCAGTCCCCACCCCAAAAAAGGTTCCCCACCCTTGGTTTAAATAATGTGCTAAGTACAGGAAGTGTATGCCTGAAGGAGAGACTCGCATGCTGCGTTTTTACATTGTATTGGAGAAGGACATCAACAAGACAAGTGTAGCCTCTTCAGGGGTTTTAAGCCCTGTACAAAACGTGAGAGGGATCAGAGACGTAAGCTGTTGCTAATGGAGTTGGCACTTCGGTCCTATGACACAGCTTCAATTCCCTCGTGCATATTGCACTGGAATCCTAAGACAGGAGGAGCAATGGGCTCACTTGCACTGATCCTTCATGCATCAGGCGGGCTCCTCAGCATAGTCCTGTTCCCACTCGCTGGTGCCTAAGAGGAAAATGGAGACCAACCGAGGATGCTCTCCCTCCTGGAGATCTAGGAAGGCCCCATGGTCTGCCAGTATGGGCAACTTGGCCCCAGAACCTTTGACTGCAATGCCCAGGGTGGGCTCATGGAGTCTGATGTCAATGGACTCCCTGGATCCCATAGGGCTGGAGGAGGATCTGGATTTGCCTCCCACACCTGACACCTTTGAGGCTGGCAGGACCTCCATTGAGTTTATGGTACTGATGATGCTTGAGCAGCCTTGCCATCTCCAGGAAACACCACTGAAAATGGCAGCACCAACCCTGAAGCGGCCTGTGGCTCCACTTCTGGTGAGCCTCTGTGCCGTGGGCAACGCCCACCACGTGGATGTTTGGGGGACAGCTGAGTACCATGCAGCCGGCACTGGCGACTGTTCATATGGTGCCATATATGGCCCCTTCTGTAAGTCCCCTGGCACTGGGTCCCACAGCCGTGAGCCAACACAGAAGCTCATTGAGGCACCATTCACCAGCACCATATGTTTCTGCTTCCCCCAACACTCTGGTGTTGGATTGCACTTTGTGTTCGGGCGCTGAGTCCTTTGTGTCCCACATTTCTTGGTATCGACCTCGGTCCTGGCACACTCCTGGCATGGGTTATGGCATTGAGATTCCTTGACAGCAACAGTGCAGTCTTGACCACCCCTTTGGCAAGCACCAATGCAAATGGCCCTTCTGGACTCTGTGGGCGTACCACCAAAGCCAAGGGCAAGGACCGCCTTCCAGGACTGCCTCGGTGGCACCATTGGTGGAAACATTGATACCTGTCCCTCCTCTAATTCTGGAGGCATAGGCTGAGCCAGGTGACCAAGTGCTGGTGGTACCCATGCTTGCACTGACCCCACAAGACCAACCATAGGAGAGGGAGGCGGTGGAGGACCCGCTGGCTCAAGAAGACCCCCCCCCACTTCCTGTGGCATCCTTCTCATCATCTCCTTAAATCCCTAGGGATCCAAATGCCCACCTGCACTGCAGACATTTTAGGTCTCAGCAGCCTGCTTGTTTTTTCCCTGGCCCACACAGGCAAAATGAGGGATGCTTTAGGGGCAGGCGAAATAATCGGAGGGGACCTCCTTGCTCCTCATCCGCCCAATGCCAGGACGCATCCAAACAGTGCCCCTGTTCCAAGCCCCACTTTTCAGGATGTGCTTGAGGAAAGAGCTCCAGACTTAATTCTAGAATCTATCACTCCTTTTGGGAACCGTTTTTCCACTTCTTTCGTGCATGGTTGCAGATTACCTCAGACTAGTGTGTCCTGAGCACAGCAGAAGTGAAATATTCTATCCAGTTCCATTCTCTCCCTGCTCACCAACATCCTTTCTCATTTGTTTTCAAGGACCCTTCTCACGAGCAACTTCTCATACAGAAGGTACAATTGATCCTTGCCTTAGGTGTGATAGAAGAGGTTCATCAGGGGTTGAAAAGGCACAGGGTTCTACTCCTGATACTTCCTTATTCTCAAGGACAAAGAGTGTCTGCACCCTATCCTGGACCTCAGGGAACTTAAACATCTTCATATGGAAACTTCGGTTCCACGTGGTCTCTCTGTCCTTCATTATTCCTTCCTTGGATCAGGGGAACTTGGCCTGCTGGCCTGGATTTCAAGGAAGTGTATTTTCACATTTGCCATTATCCTGACAGACAGGCGATTTCTACATTTTCTCGTGGCAGGCAAACATTACCAGTTCATGCCATTTGACCTGACTGTGGCATGTCTTCAAAAAGTGCATAGTGTTGGTGGGGATGTTTTTATGTCATCAGTGGGTTCAGGTCTTCCTGAACCTGGATGATTGATTAATCAAGGGCAGGTTGAGAAACCAACTGCTCAAGCAGGTGGACCTAGTCAAAGCCACGTTCTTTCACCTGGGCCTAGTTCTCGACATGCTGAAATCTACTCTCATTCCCTTGCAGAGAATCGAGTTCATTGGGGCCCTTCTTGATTCTAGCTGGGTGACAGCATCCTTGCCCAAGATTCATTTTCAGGCCATGGCAAGTCTCATCTCAGAACTGCAGAGGTACCCGCTCAGGATGGTGCAAAATTGTATGAGGCTTCTAGGGCACATGGCCTTCTGCAAATACATTCCCCAGCACACCCAACTCAGTTTGTGGCTACTCCATGGGTGGCTGGTGTTAGTGTTCATGCCATCCAGGGACTCAATTGACTGCTGGTGATCCTGCACGCCCTCGAGTGGTGAACCCAGCCCCAGGCGTTAAGTGCAGGGGCTGCTGTCAGAGGTAACCCTGGTTATGGACACCTTGGACTCGGAATGAGGGGCCACCTGAACGATGTGTTCATGCACGGCTTGTGGTCAACTCTGGACGTGGAGTTGCATATC